TTGCGATGATGACGATGACGATGACGACGACGACGAAGATGAGGAAGACGATGATCGTCGTCTTGTGTCTCAGCTGCAGGTCCAACGAGGAAAGTTCCTGACCGGTGCTGCTCAAAACCTGCGACGGGTGGGCTTTGGATTCGGGCTTCATGGCTCGGGGCTGAAGGCTTGGCTTCTCTGTTCGCTTCTGAGATTCAGGGTGACATAAAACACGAATGAAACTCGGACAAGGCCCGTAAGAAATGGAATCTTCCAGAAGGCGGAGCTGCCCTGCCCAGGTAGTCTTGCCGTGAGTCGCTCCGGTGACTCTGTAATGCTCATTTCAATCTTGGAATGGGCTCGGGAGCCCTCTATGGCGAAGGCTTCGGATTGTCTTTAAGAGACTCCAGGCCAAAAGCTGCCCGGGTCCTTTTCAGGATCTTTTGGGGTTCTACAGAGTCCCCCCCATGTCCGACGGTGGTACTCTTTACAGTAATTTGATATAATTTGAGTCAGATGGCTGCACGAATGTGCCCACGAAGACTGAGCCCAGCTGGAATTCAAAGATGCCTAAAGCATCATTGCCTTTGAGGTACAGCATTTGGGGCCCTTCCAGCCACGCACAAAGCGTGGGCAACCGACCACACGTGTTGAGAAGGAGCGTGCACCTTTTGTTTGCAATCGTCACTGTGAGCCAGTTGGGCGCATGGGAAAATGGAGCGAATGGGCGATTTACAGCGTTACAGTGTGTAGTCAGCGTCGTCAGCCGGGTTCGTTCGTGAACCCCTTGGTGGTCGGACAATGTATACATCAAGACGCTGTGCTTCTTCAATGGGCCACTCAACCAGTCCATGAGGGCTAGAGACAGGCTGGTACAAGTGTAGCGTTGCGCTACCCCTCTTCCTCACGTACGAGGGCTGCCCTGCACCTCTCACTCAGCTTCTGCACCGTGCTGTAGACGGTGCCATGCACAAGCCGCATGCCAGGCTGGAATGATGGGTGGCATGGGCACTCCCGCCATCACTTAAAGTTGGACTGCAGCGACTGGGGTTCTGTACTTCGCATGCTGGTCGCTTGCACAGGACCGTGGAGCTTGAGCCAGATACAGATTGCCAGACATGCACTCGGCATCACTAGTCCAAAGCCATGTCAGGTACATCCATGTCGTCTCGAATGGGCGAGCAGCACCAGCCGCAGCAGACCTCCGTCTTTGCGAAAATGCAGGGAATGGGCACTGGGATGGGTGGCATGGGCAACATGGGCAACATGGGTGCCATGGGCAGCATGGGGATGGCCCGCAAAGGCAAAGGCGGCATGGGGATGAACAACATGAACAACATGGGTGGCATGAACAGTGGGATGGGCGGTATGGGCGGCATGGGTGGTGGCATGGCCGGTGGCATGTGCGGCCAAGGAATGCAAGGCATGGGTGGCATGGGCATGGCCCAGGGCAACGAGAAGGGGAAGATGGGCGCCGGCGGAATGTGCGGCATGACCATGGGAGCCATGGGCCAAAAGGGCATGGGGAAGCCCATGGGCTGCAAAGGCGACTCCAATGGTTGTGGTGCGCAAGGCGCACAAGCAGCCTCCTTTGTTTCGATGCGGAGCGCATGCAGCTCATTGCACTTCGCGCGCACCATGCGAGAGCAAGCACCCAAGTTCAAGGCCGAGAATCCCTGCGTCTTAGATCCCTGACAGGTCGGCCGCCTATCGGTGGCAGCATGGGCCAGCGGCCACCGGTGATGATGCTTAGAGCATGCTCCTGAGACGATGCGGCCCTGTTTTGTGCACGTTACAGCCTAGAACTGTGCCGTCTGTTTGACAACTGCAGAGCAGTCGGACTTCAACCTTCTACTTCTCAGAAGGCATCAAGAGCCCATGACTAGCAGCAGATGCCTCGTGCTCTCTGAGGGCACCACCCCTGCGCAGCGGATGCAGATGCAGCAGGTGCAGCAGCAGGAGCGGTTGATGCAGGCACCATGGCTTTCCGCTTTCCGGGGTTTATCGGATTTAGGGGGTTGAAGGTTTATGGCTGCAGATGAAGGGTACCTTTCTGGGAAAAAGAGGGGACCTTGTTTCATATTCGCGCTTTCAACGGTGGCCACCCCTGGCTAAACGCGTAACCGCGTAGCTTGTTACGCCAATCTGGCTTGCTGCCGTGTTTGAGGGGAGTCTTCGGGTTTGCTTGGCAAGATTTCCGAAGGGGGGAGGGATATGGGAGGGGCTAATGAAGTCTCGGGCGGTTCAAAGGGCCTTCAGGGCCCAGGATATATTAGGACTTGCTGGACTTTGGGATGTGTTCGGTTCTCTGCTTGTTCACGAGGGTTTTGGTTAGTGGCTGTATCATAGGCTGTATCACACTGCTAATGCTGTTAATTCTACCAGCTGCTCGTACGACTGGTCCTGGCTACCACAACTACGACCAGAAATCCACAAGGTCACGTACCTGAGACCCAAACCCACAAAGCAACTTGCTTGTTAGCAGCGTGACATAGCCGCTGCCGTCCCTATCTGCGATGGCCGGCCGAACGACGCTTGAACCTATACTTGATCCCCTGCCACGACTCCCGAAGCCAAGCGTTAAAGCAGAGCAAGGCTTTAAGTGTCTACGCTAGCACATGCCTCTCGCCGTATACATACATACATATACATATACATATACATATACATATATATAATATAATATAATATATATAGAGAGAGAGAGAGAGAGAATGAACCCTATACTATATAATACTATATATATATGTTCCCCGAATCCTGTAAACCCGAAGACTCAGGGCGGCGGCGGCTTCTGCGGAGGCGCGCAGAATTTCGGCACCTCACCGGGCTTCGGCCAAGCCGGGGCTTTCCGCGGTCGGCCGCCAGTCACCGGGCGCCACTTTGAAGTTGCAGGGTCCCGCTGCGGGGGTTTATGTTTGGGGTTTTGGGGTTAAGAGGTTGATGATCACGAATGCTGCTATCCGTCTATTAAACTATCTAAATGTCCATCTCTCTGTCTCTCTATGTATCTACCTGTCTATCTATCTGTCTATCTACCTATCTGTCAATTTATCTATCTATCTGTCTGTCTATCTATCGATCTATCTATTTATCTGTCCATCCATCTGTCTATCTTACTATCTATCTGTCAGTCTATATTCTGTCTATCTACCGGTTTACCTACCTACCTACCTACCTACCTACCTACCTACCTACCCACCTACCTACCTACCTACCCACCCACCCACCCACCCACCCACCCACCTACCTATCTCTCTATATCTTTCTAGCTAGCTATCTTTCTATCGATCGGTCGACCTATCTTTCTATCTATTTATCTTTCGATCTATCCGTTTATCTATCTATCGATCGATCTTTTGGTCTACCGATCTATTGGTTATCTATCTATCGATCTGTCTATCTATCTGTCTGTCGCTCGCTCGACCCATAAACATACCTACAAGACCTAAAGACAGCAAAATACGTTACCGGTACTCGTATACCTAGGTTTTCACGATAACATGTTCGGGCTTGCGCGGTGTTGACAAGGATAACTCGCAAAGTGGCAATCCGGAAGATACTTGATATCGCACATCCAAGCCACCTAAGCATTGAAGTTAATCCAACAAATCCCCAAACTTCTGTGACAAAGCACCCCAGAGCCTACCTAGGCTGCAATACGGCCTTCAACAGCTCCTGGAATGGGAGCAGGCGGTCTAGGCGGAGAACCCACCCGGGCTTCTGAACAATTCAGGTGCGTTTATGCTTTCAGGTTTTGCAGCACGGTACATCAAGGCACACTGGACAGGAGTTAGCAAGTTGGTATATTGTGTTTGTTTGTAGGCCTGTCTAGTTCCCACGGTCCCGCATATGAACTGCTCGCACTGCTGCTGTCTTAACGGCTGTGTCGCAAGCAGGAGCAATCGTGAAGCAGGGAGATCCGAGACTCTTGCCAACTTTTCCCTTTCAGGATGCTAAGTCCGGAGAGAGGTAGAAGAGCCGGAAACATGCTCAATGCTGCAGCCTTTCTGGCTTTGCGCCCAGCCTATGAGGCCTGCCTTTGTACGGAAGGTGTTGAGAGTCACGGTCTGTGCGCGGGTCGTTTATGGCCTTAACCCAAGTTGGTAGGAATTTCGCACCTGAAACTGGAAACCCTCGAACTGTCAGCCGAGCCATCATAGTAACGCACCAAGACTCCAAATCTGCAATTACCGTCGCCTTCAAGACCAAGGCACGAAAAGCCTTCAAGGGCAAACACCCGCCTATCTCCTAGCCCCGAACCATCTCCAGCAAAACCTATGAGAATAGTCCAAACCAGCTGACCCCGTAAAATCTGTAAACAGCCCATCCCAGCCCAGAGGCCCTGAAGCTAACGAGAATCCCGCCTTAGGCGGCGCCGGTGGCCCCAAGTTCCCTCCAGCATTGCAGTCCTGGCTACAGCGGCTCTTTGCCCAGCAAGGCACAGGGGGTTTTGGTGAGCTGAGGGCCTGGGCGTTTTGGGTTTGGGGTTTTGGTGGGGGTGCAAGCAGAGTAAAAATGAAACCACGGAGCATCCCTATCCGCATGAGCAGTGAGGAAAAGAGCTGCAGAATGAAGCAGTTGACCGTGAGTTGCGTGTTACACACATTGACATGATGACCGTTACTCATGTGCGAACCTGCATATTCTTAACAAGCGATCACAGTTCCCAACCGATCTTTGGGACCGGGCATGCCAGGCAACTCGGACACCAATTTGCAAAAGGAGACCCATGCCCTCGGCTTAGTGTGCTGAGAAAGAGAGACAGGAGCTGTTGAATCAAGACATAGACGGACTGAGCCACGGACAAGTGGACAGGAAGACCGACAGAGGCAGACAGGCCCGGATCCTTTCGAGCAGATGGGCCCGCAATCTGTCAGGCTCGTGTTGGACAGTCTCATCCTCTGCTCCAAGTCGCATTCTATCCATACCTATATAACTATCTATCTATCTAGCTAGCTATCGATCTGTCTATCTAGCTAGCTAACTCGCTGTCGATCCAGCGATCAATCGAACTATCGATCTATCTATCTGTCCAGCTATCTAGCTATCTGCCATCTGCCTGTCTATTCATCTAGCTATTTTGCCTGTCTGTCTGTCTAGCTAGCTAGCTAGCTAGCTAGCTAGCTAGCTAGCCAGCCGACCTGTGGCATCGATCACGGCTTCGGCGATTAATAATTATCTCTCCAGGTGCAGCGCTGCCTCCTGACTCTGCATGCTAAGGCATACCTGCGATACTGGGTGCAGCACTGGAACAAGACGGTGCCATCCGGAATGTGTCTTCATGGCTTGACATGCGAAGAGCAGCCAACCCTCATCTGGGAGCGTCAAGAGATTTTGTGACCTGAACACCTTCTGCAGAGATGGTAGTCTCCAGGACGGAGTCGTTGAGGTGACTAGGGATGGGGCGCGGGGGAATAGCGATGGTTCCTGGTGCCAATAAAGCTTCTGTAGAGGCCTTAGCTGTATCTAGCCCTGGGCAGGGAGAGCTGTGGCAGCGCAATTGGGAAGCCACGTCCTCAGGGACGTCCGACTCCCCGACTCATGATCATGGCAGGTTGGAGATAGAGGTGTATAGGGTTAGTCGGAAGCCCGAAGCCATCATTGTTGTGGGGAAACTCAGTTCCAGCTGTACGTCCGAACAGCATGAATGATTAGCAACAATGATTTTACGTCGTGTGCTTATTGCTATTCTCACTATGCATGTTCTTCCTTCTGCGACTTACTTTTTGTTGGCACTGGATCAGGCTGCGACCCTGCCATCCGTGGAGGAGATCAAGCTGCTTTGCGGCAACGAGCCACTCCGTGTTAGCCTGCTGAATGAGCTTCCTATATGTACTAGTATATTTTTAATAGGATAAGAGTAGAAGCCACATTTTGCAAAACTGATTTGTCAGGTGGCAAGCAGGCGCAGCTATGATATGCTATTATCCAGTATTTGGGTGAGGAATTTGGGGCGTACAAGGCTATTGTGTTCAATTGGAATCTGGTAGCGTCGCAAAGGGCTCTCTGGTTTTCCAGGAAGTATCGAGATAGCTGATTCTCCTGGTAGCTTAATACTAGTTTCAGGCGGGTCGATGATCAGTGTCCGAAGTCCGAAAGTCTGAGCCAAAGAGTACGGCCGAGGCGGAAACTGCCTCCCGGTAGCCTCAGTGGGCAAGGCGCCATCGCAACAGCTCCGCTTGACTCGATGTTCACAGTTGCCGAAGTTGGAAGCCCCAAGGCCCCTGCAAGAATCCGCTCAGCTCATCCTTGAAACCCGGAGTTGCCTGAACATTTCAGAATATGAGGTCAGGTCAAGAGTCACCTCGTCGAAGTAGTAGTCGGAGCAGCTATGAGGATGAGCACGTTCTGGGTGACAGTGGCATGGGTGAGGATGATCATGAAGACATGGATGATGCCATGACTTTCCTTATGGAGTGCCAGGTGCCTCAGCGGGCAGCTCACAGGCCCAGCTTGGGAATTCTTTGGGGCAGCCTAAGCCGCAAAGGCCAAGACTCCTATATCAAACCCTAGACGTAGAGGCACCCGACGAAGCCATCAATCTTCATCATACCATTCTTGTGTCGACAGATTGTGTAAGCATGATTGGAGTTGTCGGGTTCTTGGTACTGGAGGGCTTCAGGCGCGCAGCGGTGGGCTTGGTAATGTGAAATCTATCTCACAAGCCCAAGCAAACTCTTAAAGGATGCCCTATACTCCCGAACTCAGAGCAGACACCTCAAACCGTCATGAATCGAGCTTGGCCCGATGAAAGGAACGCCGGCACCTCCACCCAATCTATGTTCTGGCAGGTATACTTCGAGGATCAAGGAACTTAGTAAGTAAGACTGGGCTATAGTAGTGATTGTAAATATAGTTACCTGATTTATAACCCTAGTTACTAAGCCCGATGATCCTGTAAGTGCAGACGCGGGTTGCCGAGCACTGGCCGCGTATCTTGTTGAGCATGCAAACATCGATTCTCCGGTGCTGCATATTCAATATTGTTGCAACTGAAATGCCCCCCCTCCTCCACTTTGGCTTTCTTTTGAGGCCCCTAGGGTTTTTCAGTGCAGATTGTAAACATCGTCATTCCGGAGCGAAGCTGTAGCTCGGAAGCCTGCGTTTGGCCATCCTCCCGGTTCAGAAGTAGATCTTAGACTTTCCCTCAAAGACGTGCCTCGAAATAAGAGGAGTTTGCTATGACGAGAGGGGATCCCTGTTGTTGGATTTTGGGGGGTTTTGGGGGGGGCAGGCCTGGCCGCAGCAAGCAGCGGGCTCTGGTGAGGCCTGTGTGCACCAGGGCTCCGGCGTTGCCAATGATTCACAGACAGATGCTTCAGAATTTAGGGATTATGGGAAGGGTTCAAGGTGAGTCGGCACGTTTTGGATAGTTCTAGCTTGTTGCAGCCTCACCCGGATCTGGCTCGAATGTCCTCACCAAAGGAATGTTTCAACCCGCTGCCGACATTCAAAGCAAAGCCCATCAGGCCTTACCCTACCAATTGTACACATATAGCCAAACCGAGAAACAAAAAGCACAGACTCATAGACATGTGTACATAAAGATAGAATCATGCACATGTGTACACTCAAACATGCATATTCGTATTTTTCGGTGCGAGGCTGTTGGAACTGGATTGCGCTCAAATCTACAATCCACTGACTTCAACATATGTGGTGGTTTGCATTGTCCTTTTCGCCAACCTGGCAGAATAGGGCATAGTTCACTCGATGAAGCTACGTGGCGTAAGTCTTGTCAGACTCAAATCCTTTAAATCCTGCAAATGTACAGGTGCATGGGTGCGCGTGCTTTTGTTTTCGGGCTGTGCCAACTCATGAGATCCGAGGTTTCGATATCACGGTTCAGCTTGTGTTTTGCAAGGCTTGCGTGCGATTGTTGAGGCCCATCAGGGTCTTTTGGACGTAGGTTTCGGCAGTCCATGGTTGTGAATCGGTGTGTTCTCTTATTAGTCATGCACGTGTGTCCGTTGCGTTCCTTGGCAGGCTCGAAACGGGCCGTATATTAAGAAACTTCACACTCCAGACAATGAGCAAGATTAGCGTCTTTGGTGTCAGCAGAAGCTTTTGATGAATTGGACTGGCATGTCAACTGTGGGCTGTGCCTGACATAAGACATCAAGAGCTGACAGGAGGGCCTTGTGTAAGCGTCTTCCTTTTCTCGACTCCATCAGCACGAAGAGGCATAACTAGCAGCCCTAAATCATCATCTCGTATCTACAAAGACGACTAGATAGAGGAGCCTTCACGAGATAGTCCTCACTGGCAAACCGCACTGCGTCGGGACACCCGTGCGTCGCGCACCCATCTTTCGCCATGCCGGTGCCAAGAGGCCATAAAATTCCTCAGGCCCCGTCTGTTTAGGGGGACTCACGGGGGTGTGTAGGATTTTACAACAACGGGTGCACGGTGCATCTCCTGCAACCTCCGCCCCGCAATCATAGGTGCTTGCGTTTCTGAGGGTTTGTTTAGGGCTTTCGCGGGGGTGTAGACTTGCAATGTTGCTTGCTTGGGCTTGCAGTCCGTTTGTGTTTGCAGAAGCTGTTGTCCTGGTCTGGCATGCAAGTTAAAACGACAAGGCTGCTGTTTCCGAGTGTGACGTCCCTGGACGTTGGCGACTTTCCTCCTTGCCCACAGAGCACATCGCTGCTGTGCCGTGGTTGTACTGCTTTTTCCACAGCACTCAAAAAGAACACATTCACTTTCAGGACGCGCGGGAATGTCTCTCCATACGCAGCCAGACTCAACTCGACGTTCCCCGCGAGGCATACGAAGAGGACTGTGCTAAAGATGCTGCGGCTTTCGCCAATGTGGACATCCTTGCAGATGTTGCAGCTCCTGCGGAAGTGGCGGTGCAGCTGATCCAGAGGCCTGGGCCCAGGGCTCTGAGGGTGACACAGCAACAAGGGTTCAGTGCTTCCCTGCCATGCTCGGCAGCGGGAAGCCCTGTAAGTAGAAACCCTTATAATAGCCGAACGGCAGCCTTGTATACGCCCAACAGCCATACAAACCCAAAACCCTTTCGAACATGTAGCGCTGTATAATGGGGGCATCTTCGGTTCGCATGCGTCGTAAAAGCACGGAACGAGGCTTCAGCAAGCAGCCCAACAAGCCTCCAGTAGAAGCCCCAATTAATCTCCCACAACTGGTACATCGCCCATATCTTAGACCCATCCATTCTAAACCGTCATAAGAACTTTTATTACAGGCCCTTGATTCCATAAACCTTATGAGCCCTGCACAGCCTGCAAACCCAAAACCAAAAACCCCCGAAAGCATCCAAAAGCTGTAGAATACTTATGAGCCCTAACCCTTAAACTCTATAAACCCTGAAGCCCAAGCCCGAAAATCTCGCTATAATTCCTAAGCTCTGTAAACCCTGATAACTTATAACCTCGTAGAACCTAAATCAAAGCCCTGGAAGCCCTCTGAACCCTAAATCCTAAAAGCCTGAGTGTGTATCCTAAGCCCTTAAAGCCCGATAAATCTTTAGCCCGTAGACTCCACAAGCCATACAGAGAGAGAGAGAGAGAGAGAGAGAGAGAGAGAGCGAGAGAGAGCGAGGAGAGAGAGAGAGAGAGAGAGGGAGGGAGAGCTTAAATCCTGAATATCCGCTCTTTCCAGACCCTATTAAACCCTAAACGAAACCCTAAACTGAATCGTAAACCCCTTTTAAACCCTATAAACGACAGCCTAAAGCTTGAAACCGCAGGTTCGAGGCTATGCTCGCAAGACGGGATGAGGAGCTCTTCAGGCGGCTGGACAGGGCCGTGCAGAGCTTCGCGGTCCGCTCCTCAGCGAGATGCTTCCGTTCTTGTTTGTCGTCGTCGTCGTCGTCGTCGTCGTCGTGGTGGTGGTGGTGGTGGTGGTGGTGGTGGTCCGGTTTAGGGTTTAGGGTTTAGGGTGTTGGAGTTTTTGTTGGGTCGTTACGGGGGCCTGTGGGGATTTCGAGTTTACAAGGGGCTTTTCCAAGATGGCACTTTAGAACCGAGCTTGCCAGCGGTGAGAGCCAGCGGCACTTTTGTTTATCCAATGTATCTCTAAGAGTCAGGCTCAAATATCTTTCCCACTCAGTGGACTAGCCCTCTTGCTTTGGAGCACTCTGCCACTGCTAGTGGCTGTGCCAGTCATCGTTCTGAGTACCACATCAAGCCGTTTGCCGCAGCAGCCCCGCGCGTGATCACCGCTGCCGAGCACTGCCGAGTCCATGGAGCTTGCTGTCGGAATTGCTGGGTCTGTCTGGGAGAAAACTTCCGTGATTGTGTTGTCTGGCACCGCAGAGCAGCGTGTCAGCGCAGGAGTCGCATTGCTCACTCTCGTTGCCGGGGTATTTCATTTTCTGCAAGGCATCCTTATGCCCTCGGCCTGTGCCGACATGTGCCTGCAACCCTGGTTCATGGCTTGCGCAGGGCTCTGGATGACCGGCTCGGCACTGCTCTTCCTTTATGACGAAATGCTCGGCTTCCCGTTCATGGCGGCCTCTATGGGCGGTGCGGCCGCCACAGCTCTTCTGAGCCCTCAGAAGCCAGGTGTTATTGTAGCGATGAGCAGCTTGGCCGCGCAGGCCTACACCACGAAGCTCCCGCAGGACCCATCCTACATCGCCGTTACTGTCGGTATGTTTGTCTTCGCGGTGCTTGCTAGGCAGTTTTTGGGTGGCAGTGATGACTCGCAGGTTCTGAAGAAGGACTGAGAAGGAAAATGGGTCCAGAGAAACTCGATTGCGACTCTGTCGGAGAAAAAGTGTCAGTGCCTCCGATTTGCCTGGCGAAGCGCTACCCCTGGCGGCGTCATCCCCTATTTCTAACCCCGAAGCCACGACCCAAAACGCCCAGCCGATTCTTGAATTGTTCCATGCCTCGAGGCGACACCCGATGCGATGACCTACGAACACTCTCCGCTTGTCAACAGCGGCAACGACAATGCTTGAGCCCCAAGTGGATTGATAGGTCATTTCCTTTGCGGTGCTGGTTTCTGCGAGAAAGTGTATGATCATGACCCCATTGAGGGCCCGCTCGTCTCGGAATTTTCGGACCTCGTAGCAGTGCATCATAGCTCCACCGTCCACCGGAATCTCACGGCTGAAGCGTTGCATCGAGAAAATGCCGAGAAGAAATTTGGGGGGTCACGCAATCATCGCGGAGTCCGCTTCGAGCTTGTCAGCTGGGACTCCGATCCCGCCGACCCATCACCATCGCTATCCGAAGATATGCCATTAATCAATAATCCCTACATCAGAACCAAATATGAGCTCCTGCACACCCTCTGCCATCAGGTCAATGTTCCGATGCGGAGCAAAGCGCTGGTGGAGTCCAGAGTGCCTTCGGAGGGAAAGTGCTTTCAAAGCAGAATCAGTTAGAAGATTCGAAAAGGAACAAAATCATAGTGAAAATGTTCATGTGCATTTCAAAGCGACGTAAATGCATGGTCATTAACCCTGTTCATGATGAGAGAGCAAAGGAACAAGTCAAGCTGGAGCTGCGAATGTCAGAGCAGTGCTAGACAGTAATTACGTTGTCAACAGGATTGTAAGGTTCTCAAGAGATGAGAGTTCCTTGCATGAGGGTCATTGTTCGGGTCGAAGCTCGGGCTGTTGGTTGGTACGTTTGAAGCCAGGTGCTCCATGTGCATCAGATTGCAATCATAATTTCCTTGGTTCTATATTATACAAGCGGAGCCTGCCAACTTCTTCGTCGCTGCTAGTAGCTGCTGGAATGCGTGCGAAACCCACAGCAAACGACGTTCGTGCGGTATCATTACTACGTTTGCAACGCAACCGGCGGTCTTGTTTTGCACGCCAAAGCAGTTTGTTTCATCAAAGGTACGCGCGCTTGCTGCAAAGACGAGGCAACTGGAAGTGGACCTTGACCTGGACATATTCTCTGCGCCTTCGCTGGAGGTTTGTGGCCGCTCTTTCCAGGGCGTAGCAGGCTATATCTTGAATCATGATGACTTGCTTGTGGAACGACGGATTCCATAAGGATATTATGATGCCAGGATACAGAAGCAACCCTTCCTTTTGCTGTTGCTTCTCTCGGCGCCCGGACCAGGGTGCTTTAACGATCCGATCGCATCGATCGCATAACCGCTCGAACTGCTGGGTGGGAGTAGCTCGCCCCACGTAAGTCCACGCCACGGTCCCATACGCCACTGAGCTTCCAGCACCTATATAAAGTTTCTCGTCAACAAACTGCAGATGCAAAGCCCGCCCGAACCCCGCCGTGGAAAGCCCAAAACCCTTGAAAACCCCACGGAGGAAGACAACAATGAGACCAACGAGAGCAACGAGCCGGAAGAAAACGCGAGTCGAGGCTTCGCCCCCGGGCTTCGGGGTTAGGGGTTAAGCTTTATAGTTCGGGATTTGAAGGGGTTGATGGTTTAGGAAGTACAGATTCTGAAAGCAAAACACGAGGATGGGAGCTGCGTTTACCGGAAGGCCCAAGCGAATAATTGATCAATCGCGGACTGCACTCTACTTGTCTGAATTACCTCGCTTCCAAGTTGTTTCTGCTGCTCTTAAAGTCCAGGTGTTATAAGCCTTAGGCCCCTTATTGCTTCGGCCACAAGTGGATCAAGCTGGCGTGGCCGACCTCGGGCTGCGAGGGTTAGCTGTGGCCTTTTGTGGTTGTTGCCGCAGAAGTTTTGGATAAATTTAGGCATTATAGTTTAGGTACAGTGCCCAGATGCAGCAATGCCCCCGTGTCTTGGGGAAGACGCGCAGCCTAAGGTTCCAAACGTCGCTCCACTCGCAGCACTACCAGATTCGGCAGCTGCTTGACCCCGCAAAGCCTAGCCTTCGCTGAAACAACAATGAACCATAATCCGCAGGAGCAGCCGCATCAGCAGCAATGGCAAAAACAGCTATGTCAACTACAGCCCCGACAATTTGGCATTAATTTTCGTTTCCCGAATTACCGTGTGAAAGTGTTTCACTTCATGCCCTCTGTAGTGTTCTAGAATCTAGAATAGCTCGACCTAGCATGACGACGAAGCATCATCATCCCCATCGCTTGTTGTCAAGATGGACTTACACAGTGAACGGTGTGCAATGCCAACGTTAGCACTGTTATGTAAGACAGATCATTAGTCTTAGCAGCAACGTTCTCGTACCTGGCAGTGCCTAGCTTCTGCTTTCGCAGCACGTTTCAACATTCATGCTCCGTACTCGACAATTAGTAAGTTTCACGAGATTGGATCTTTTCAGTGGCAACAGAAAAGCAAATGACACCAGCGACGGCCGTCACAGTAGCACAGTCGCAAATACACCGTTGCAGCAATTACCAACAAGAGCGATATCAACAGCAGCGGTGGCGGCGTGAGCTACAGCCACTGCTGCAATTAAGAACGACGACATCAGTCGCTGGCCACGGTAGCACTAACTGAAGCTACGACGAAGAACTACCTTCTGCCACAACGACGAAGACCTCCTGCGCCACCTCCAGCTCCACGTCTACCCACTCCGACGCCTGCTCCCACTACTACTACTGACTGACTCCTTACTACTTGCCATTACTATTGCCACTACTACAACTACTGCTGCTACCATTGCTACTACTACTGATGCTACTACTACTACTACTACGACTACTACTACTGCTGCTGCTACTACTACTACTACTACTACTACTGCTACTACTACTACTACTACTAGTACAACAACAACAACTACTACTACTACTACTACTACTACTATTACTAGTAGTAGTAGTAGTAGTAGTAGTAGCAGCAGCAGCAACAGCAGCAGCCGTCGTCGTCGTCGTCGCCGTAGTCGTAGTCGTAGTCGTAGTCATAATTGTGGTTGTTAGTGCTGTTGTTGCTGTCTTTGCTGCTGCTGCTGCTGCCGCCGCTGCTCGTGCTGCTGGTGTCGGTGATGTTGTCGTGTTGTCGTGTTGTTGTTGTTGTTGCTGTTGGTTTTGTTGGTTTTGTTGTTGTTGTTGTTGTGGTTGTTGTTGTTGTTGTTGCTGTTGTCGTTGTGGTTGTGGTTGTGGTTGTGGTTGTGGTTGTGGTTGTGGTTGTGGTTGTGGTTGTGGTTGTGGTTGTGGTTGTGGTTGTGGTTGATGATGTTGTTGTTGTCGTTGTTCTTATTATTGTTGTTGATCTTGCAGCTGCTGCTGCTGCTGCTGCTGGTGTTGTTGTTGTTGTTGGTGGTGGTGGTGGCGGCGGCGGCGGTTGTTGTTGCTGTTGCTGTTGCTGTTGCTGTTGCTGTTGCTGTTGCTGTTGCTGTTGCTGTTGCTGTTGCTGTTGCTGTTGCTGTTGGCGGTTCGTGGGCTGTTGTTCCTGCAAATCTCAATATAGTACTTATTTTATCTTACTTTCGGCTTGCATGTTTGCATGGTCTTCTTCGCTCCATCAGGGCATCCAGACACGGGACGAGATGTGGAACTGGCTCAACTACACGTTGCCGAGCGTGTTCTGGTCTGTCGTAGATGCCGACGAAAGTTTGCCAACCCTGGCCAGCTACAACGAGTCTAGGCTGATGTTGGCCGGGACCCCGAAGAAAGCAGCCTCATACCCGCCAGCCCATGCGACGCGACAAACCCTACCTAAGTAATAGCTTACTCGTCTATTTTGCCATCATCAGCTATGGCGAGGTTTTTATGATTATAGGACCTACCCTCTTCCTGGGGACTGCTGGACGACAAGAGCCAAGGAGCTGTTGGGATACATGTCCATTCGTGTGCAGCTGCTCGCCTGCAAAAGAAGATTATTGAGCTTACTTAAGGAATAGAATTTATGAGGGGTTTGTGGTGTTTAGAGCTCAGGGGTATGCAGGGCCGTGTGCCCAGCATGTTTCGTCTGAGCATGTCCATAGCTTCAAACGAGCTCACAGACCAGTCTCGGCTACCAAGAATCTACTGTGTGTCCTAATGTCAATGCAAGGACACAATTGCTCTCCAATCGCCCCCTCCCTCCCTCCCTCCCTCCCTCCCTCCCTCCCTCCCTCCCTCCCTTCCTCTCCCCCTCTCTCACTCCCGCTCTCGCTCTCGCGCGCTCTCTCTCTCTCTCTCTCTCTCTCTCTCTCTCATGCAAATCATATGTCCATGCAGGTTGCTTGTGTGAAGTGTAGAGTGCGACTGCATGTCATGACTGTCATGTGCACTGTTCGTTTCTCTGGAAAGCCCAAAACCAAAGAAAGAGAGTGTGAGAGAATGAGAGTGAAATTTCTCCGACTGCCGAAATGTTTTCCGATCTAATGTAGAGTGCTTGTTCGATCCCGAAGGGAAGCCCACTCAGGAAGTTTAAAGCCCGCTTTTACCGTTTAGGGTTTGGCCTTCGGGGTCTAAATAAGTATTTTAATTGACTAGTAGCCTGCTTTATAGCTACGTAACTGGAGCCCTATGAGAAGCATTTCAGGAACGTGAAGACCCCTACTTCAACAGAATACTGCGCTGCTCGTCTGCCTTACGAGTTGGGACTTGGGATTTTGATGTGTTTCCTGGGCTAGGTGTTAGAGCATAGAGGATTAATGTTTCGGTATTGGGATTTGGAATGTAGGGTCCAGGGTTTGGTGCTAGAGGCCCCAACCAGCTTTTGCATGGCTGATGGTTCGGTCCTACCGAGAGCTTGGTCTACCACAGGTCGCGGCATAGCATGATCAGGGCCCGGCAGCCTTTCAGCATGTTCCAAACTTCTTGGGCCGCATGTTGGTATCTTGAGCATCCGGGAGCAGCTTGCACGGTATGATACTTGATTAAGGAATCCAAGTGTATCCCGAGGAACATTGATGGATGAAGGGTGTTTGAAGTCTCTGGGTAACAAGGTGGGACTTCAACATTAGAACAGAGCAGCCATCTCGTCAAAAAGACGAATGCACGCAACAGCCGCGCAAATTACGAGTGATGTTGCAGGTCCAGAACCTACAGCTGGTGTCGGCGTTGAATGCAGACCTTCCCGGCGCCATGGTTGCTTACAGGTACGCAGTTTATCACTGCGTATGACCTGTATGGTTTAGCTCTTTTCCGGGCATGTAAGGTGGGGCATGCTTTTTAGCACTTCCAACCTTTTACCTTGAATATCGTGAACCGATTCCTACACGAGCAAAGACACCGAGGAGCGAATATCACCTGCTACCCGCGGACCATTACAGCGTCCACTCAAGAGACGGCGCAGTACACGGATATCGCATCCTATTGGCAGCCGCTTGCAGCTCAAGAACAGGTTTAGGACTTGCGGATGACAGGTGTGTGTACATGCCCTTGCTAGAGATTCTGGCCCAAGGAACGTGACAGCCAACGCGGCAGATTTAGACAACAGTGCGAACGTGCGGGGGATCAGCAACCCAGGCATTTTCAGGCCGGGACCTCAGCATAGCTGACC